AAGCCAATCAAAAATCTTTTTTGCATATGTTAACTTGTTCTGAATTGCACGTAACATCAACTCCCTCCTGACGTGAACTTAAACCAAAACCAGATTTATCCGAACTTATGGAACGCATATAGTTGTGGGAATGGCAGTTGGAGGCCAGGATTTGCTATGTGTTAAACAGAAGCCATCTTCTCCAATTCCACCTGCTGAACTCAAAGGATATTTGGAAGAACTTGGAGATTGCTTGTTCTCTGATGCCAGTAGTCCCATATTGGAGAGAATAGCAAAAGATAATAAGGTGTGTGTTTAGACGTAAGGACTCTATGTCAGGTCTTTGTCCATCCTTTTGTGATTTCCATTAAACATTTGTATACAGTTATAGTAACATCTCTAAAATATGCAGTTTCCGGAGGTGTTTGGTCGTATGCTACAATCGCATACCATGCAGTTCACAAGCATCACAGAAACATCGAGCAAGGATGTTAGTTACCTCACCTCATCATTTATTACTTGTGGCTATAATTAACTTAGTCGAATCATGTTGTAATTTTTATAGGGACTCACCCTTATTTGGTCAAAAAGAGGAGGCGATGTGTTTACGCAAAGTCACTCCAGGTGGCTCCAGACCATGGCAGCTAACCCAGAAGCTGTACTTCTCAAATTGGTACCGATTACCTCTCTTCTGAATGGAATTCCTGGGAGTGGCTACCTTAGTCATGCCATTAACTTGTACCTACGATGTATGAGTTTAGAATCTTTGGCCTGAATATTACTTTTTTCCCCTTTTTTATTCCCCATGTCATTGTCTATTTAAACCAGTAAACATGTGTTTGCATTAGTTTATCATTTTGCTTTTGTATGGACTTTGACTTACATGCTTCTTTTTTTTTCTCCAGATAAACCCACTTTAGAGGATTTGCCATATTTTTTGGAATTTCAAGTTCCAAGTCAGTGGGCTCCTTTGTTCTGTGAGTTGCCCCTAAGGCATCAGAGGAGAAAGGCCTCATTTCCTTCGCTGCAGTTTAGTTTCTTAGGTCCAAAAGTTTATGTTGGCTCCACTCAGGTATGCACAGTTCCGTTGCAATGTGTATTTTAGCTTCTCTCATCTGGTTCTGAGTGATAGCACTGGCCAATGTATAGTGTTTGTTTGGTCATGAATAATTGACATTCATATCATCATAAAATCATAAGTGCTGATGAAAGGGTGCAGTGTATTTGGAACACTTGAAGTCAATCATGTTCACTTAGGTTATGAGACTTTTGCATGCATAATCCCTTTCTTCAATCTAAAGATGAATTTTTAGTTTGTTAAATAAGTATTTGCCACCATTCTAGCTTTTGAGTGTTTTTATGATTTCACAGAGTCTGTTTGTTTTTGAGTGATTCATGTTTATGCACTTGCACTTGTATATCCATAAACAAATTTTCTTTCCTTTTGTTGGGAGAATGGTTGGTCCTGGCAACCAAGGTTTATACAGTGGTGTTAATGGTCAATTGACTTCAGTACATCCTCCATACTGATCACTTCATCCAATAACTGCAAAATTAACAAGCAAATAATTCCAACGACTAAATTGCAATTTTAGTTCAGTAAGTTTCACCAACCTAACTTTTTCATCCTCTTCGATATNATTATGTTTGTAGAAATGTTACAAAAAGGTCCTTTTCGTAACAAAAAGGTCTCTTATGTTTTGCAAAAAAAGTTCCAATTTCGTCCCTTATGTATGCTCGGGGCCCTTTTTGTAACCTTTATGCAAACATCAGGGACGAAAAATAAAAATCAATTCGAAGGAGACAAAAAAAAGTTACGGTAGTAAAACATACAGGACTAAAATTGCGCAATTTACTCTAATTCCATTTTTGTTCGCTATACTCGAAAACCATCTAATAATTACCACTGTCAATTTCACTCGTTAAACAACTTGTACCCGTTTTTTTACGGCCAAAAAAATTTAGGTAACAAGCGATCAAAAGCCAGTAACGGGTCTCCGCCTTTACTTGGAAGGCAAGAAAAGCAACCGCCTCGCAATACACGTGCAGCATCTATCAAGCCACCCGAGCATCATCACCTCTCCAAATCCCACGGCAGCACGAAAACCCCAGTGGAGAGGTTCGGACGATTATGAATTATCTGACCAGTTTTTCGAACCCGTCCGCTGGAAAAGATATTCAAAGGTATGCTCCTCCGTGGTCAAGCACGACCCCACTTGGGTGGTCTCCTCTGGTGGAGGCGTATTCATCGTGACAGGTGCACAGCTCGTCATCAAAGGGAAATGGCCGAGAAAAGCCCTTCACCTCCGATTGCTCTACACGCATTTACCAAACTGCAGCATTCGGAAGACTGAATGGGCTTCTGTGCCTGAGTCTTCTCGCAAGTCGAGCTTTTTCACTAACCTTAGCACGACTTTTACTTTTACTCAGAGAGAAATTGCTGAACATTCCATGAAGAAGGAAACCCAAAGGGCGACACTTAACTCGGGTGTGTATCCAGACGGCCCCCCTGTCCAGATTCGGTCGACTAAGCTTCTTAGGTATGTGGACACAACTGAGGTCTCGCGTGGGCCATACGATGTCCCGGGGCATTGGCTTGTGACGGCCGCTAAACTGGTGACAGATGGCGGCAAAATCGGTTTGCATGTCAAGTTTGCTTTGTTGGATTACTTGCAGGAGTGATACTAGGTGTCTTCTTTATGAGTGTATAGGAATGAGGTTTTGAATCTCTATCGGTTTTATATGTATGTT